CTCCTACTGACCCCTCACTGTGAGCCTGAGGCCCAGATGGGTGGGCATTTTCCTGGACTACAAGGTGGGTGAGGTCTCATTGTACAATGGGGCTGATGAGACCCATCTCTTCTCGACTTCCTGAAATTCCAAGAAACCCTTTAAAGGTAGTTGGGGTTATCTAGTGACTTTACACACCCATAGGGGGCATCAGCTCCAATCTAGCCCCAGGGTGGTGGTTTGGGGGAGGGATAGAGAGACTTTGCCCCTCGAGTGCGCTGGCTCTGCTCCAGATTGATGGGGCTGGCAGACTCAGGGTCACAGACAATGGGATACAGGACCCTGAAGGGGCTGAGGATGGTTTCTGTCTGGGAAGCAGGAATTATGGGACCAAACCTCTGGCCTTTGCTCATACAAGGAGTCCTGTTGGGCAGTGACCGACCCCAAGCACCTCTTAGAGACCATTTTACTCCCTGTCACAGGGTAAGTTGCTGCTGCAAGGGAGAAGGTGCACAGAGGCAGATGGTACAGCACTATTGCAGTTGCCATAACTACGATGCTGACTGAATGGTGTATGACATAGAACACATGTGAGATTCAAGATCTGGTGTAAAGTGAAAATGGCATTGTCAAAAAAGCATAAATTCTGCTTTAATAACCAGCTTCAAAAGGATTTTCCATATTTACGACCAACCGGAAAAGAAACATCTATATTATGTTCAATATGTCAGTCAATATTTTCCATTTCAGGTAGAGGCAGCAAATCTATAAAAGAACATGAAGGTACCACTAAACATAAAGCTGCTCTTACAGCATGTGCTAGTTCAAGTTCTGTTACCAAATTTTTTTTTCACAAAGTTGAGCTAACACAGATTGAGTATGACCTTGCTTTGCAAGAAGGAATATATGCATATCATACCATTAGACATAATCACAGTTTCAGGTCAATGGACTGTACTTCAAATTTAAAATAAAAAATTCAGCAACCCCAAATTCTCATGTGCATGGACAAAGTGTGAAACAATAGTTACTTGCAAATGTTTTTGCTCCATGGGCAAATGATGATCTAATTGACAAACTGAAAGATGTTGATGGATCAAATCACTGACATGTAAAATTGTGTCCTGCCTTGGTTTGCTATTTCAAGGCTTATGAAGGGAGTTCACGTGTGCAAACTAAATTTGTGGATTTTGTTGAACTTAAAGGAGAGACATCAGAACTTATTGCAGTTGAGATAATAAATGTTATGAATAAGTATGGCATCAAAAATAAGGTTGTGGCCTCAGCAGATAATACAAATACAAACTTTGGTGGCCTATACAGACATGGAAGAGAAAATTTGTACACCGAAGTAAAGACAAGCTTAAAAAGGGACATGATAGTCCTTGGATGCCCTGCTTACATAGTGCATAACTGTGGGTATGTTTACTCTACGAAATTAGGTTGAATTTATAGAAGTCGATTTTTTAGGAAGCGATTTTATATAGTCGATTGTGTGTGTCCCCACTAAGCGCATTAAGTCAACGGAGTGCATCCACAGTACCGAGGCTAGCATCGACTTTTGGAGTGTTGCACTGTGGTAGCTATCCCACAGTTCCTGCAGTCTCCGCCACCCATTGGAATTCTGGGTTGAGCTCCCACTGCCTGATGGGGCAAAAACATTGTTGCGGGTGGTTTTGGGTACATGTTGTCAGTCGCCCCTCCCTCCGTGAGAGCAATGGCAGACAATCGTTTCGCACCTTTTTTCCATGCAGACGCCATACCATGGCAAGCGTGCAGCCCGCTCAGTTCAGCCGCCGCTGTTGTGTCCTGGGTGCTGCTGGCAGCAGAGTGTGCAGTAGGGCTGCAAACCATTGTCATGCTTCCACTGCCACTCTGCTCTCCTGCTCTGGCAGCAGACAGTACAATAGGGCTGCAAACCATCATCATTGAATGACCGAACGACCGCTTCCGCTGCCACTCTGCTCTCCTGCTCTCCTGCAGACGCCATACCACGGCAAGCATGGAGCCTGCTCAGATCACCGTGGCAGTTATGAACACTGTAAACACCTTGCGCATTATCCTGCAGTATATGCAGCACCAGAACCTGCAAAAGCAGGTGAGGAGGCGACGGCAGTGCGGTGACGAGAGTGATAAGGACATGGACACAGACTTCTCTCAAAGCACGGGCCCTGGCAATTTGGACATCATGGTGGTAATGGGGCAGGTTCATGCCGTGGAACGCTGATTCTGGGGCCAGGAAACAAGCACACACTGGTAGGTCTGCATAGTGTTGCAGGTCTGGGATGATTCCCAGTGGCTGCGAAACTTTCATGGAACTTTGTGACTTGCTTTCCCCTGCCCTGAAGCGCAAGAATACCAAGATGAGAGCAGCCCTCACAGTTCACAAGCGGATGGCGATAGCCCTCTGGAAGCTTGCAACACCAGACAGCTACTGATCAGTCGGGAATCAATTTGGATCAATCAATCAAAATCTACTGTGGGGGCTGCTGTGATCCAAGTAGCCAACGCAATCACTGAGCTGCTGCAAGCAAGGGTAGTGACTCTGGGAAATGTGCAGGTCATAGTGGATGACTTTGCTGTAATGAGATTCCCTAACTGTGGTGGGGCAATAGACAGAACACATATTCCCTCGTCGGGGAGGAGTACAGAAATCGATTTTAAGACCCCTTCAAGTCGACAAAAATGGCTTCGTTGTGTGGACGGGTGCAGGGTTAAATTGATCTAATGCTGCTAAATTCGACCTAAACTCGTAATGTAGACCAGGGCTGTGCCTGAACTGCAAGGAATATAATCCCGGTAGATGCTGAGAGCATTCTAATTAACATTTTGGCTATTTTCATATATTCACTGTTCACGTGGAAAGACTGAAAAGTTTTTGTCAGTACATGAGACAAGAATATCAGAATATCCTGGGATTCAGTAATGTCAGATGGCTGTAGATTTTACCTGTTTTAAAGAGGATCCTTCAATTTTATGAGTCATTTTTCTTGTCAAAGGAAAAGTGATCATTAGTTCTTCACAAAATATTTAAAGACCCATGTACTGAACTTGCTTTTATCCATGCAAACATGACACTTTTTCATGACACAATCAAATCACTTGAGGGAGATGATCGCTATGCAGTAAGTCAGAGAATATTTTAAACAATCTCAAAAAGAAGCTAGTTACAAGGTGTAAAGAAAACTTTGTGCCTGTTTTAAGAGAAAACTACTTAGAGACCTAGAAGAAGTGGGGAGATCTTAATGTGTCAAGATCTTTCTTCAATACAGCCATTAAATACATATGTGCATGGGGAAAGCATACAGATGATTTGAAGTGTCTGCTTTTAAAGAAAACTCCTTTAAGATCCAAGATTGAAAAAGCAGTTGAGTTACTGCAGAGGAAATACCCCAATGTGACAATTAACAAGGATGAACTGTTTGATGAAAACAACGAGGTGTCCGGTGGCACCTTAAAGACTAACAGATTTATTTGGGCATAAGCTTTCATGGGTAAAAGACCCCACTTCTTTAGGTGCATTTATCAAAAAGTGGGTTTTTTACCCACGAAAGCTTATGCCCAAATAAATCTGTTAGTCTTTAAGGTGCCACCGAACTCATTGTTGTTTTTGACTAACAGAGCTACTCCTCCGATGTTTGATGAAGTAACTCTGTTAAATGAGTTTGTGACAGGGAAACTATGTGAATGCAATGACACAACTACAATGATCATAGTGTGTGGCAGATGGGATGAAGTAATCAAGCATTGTAGGGAATCCTCAGTACCACATGCAAATATAAAAAAAATGGCAGAACTGATCCTGTGCCTGCCTGGCAGTAATGCTTCAGTCGAAATGATATTTTCTGTCATGAATGACCTGTGGACAGGAGAAAAATCCAGATACAAGTCTGAAACTGTGAAAGCCATTCTCAAGTTACTGTCAAAACAAACTTCACTTTGACCTGGAGGTTAATCATAGAATCATAGAATATCAGGGTTGGAAGGGCCCTCAGGAGGTCATGTAGTCCACCCCCCTACTCAAAGCAGGACCATTCCCAACTAAATCATCCCAGCCAGGGCTTTGTCAAGCTTGACCTTAAAAACCTCTAAGGAAGGAGGCGGATTCCACTAGCAGAAGCAACAAGTCATCATGCTACACAGAGATAACATAGCATTAATTGATAAGCCTGTCAAAAATAAATGACATTGGCATTGGTGCAAAGAAAGAGATTCTTTAAATAGGCAATTTGGACAGTGGGTACGGAAAACTGATGTTGAATAATGTTTTTATATTGTTTATAACCAGTGTTTGAATGAGCTTCTTTAGTGTGACATCACATCCAAACTGATTACATGCATATTTGTTTTGTATTTGTAGTGTATATGTGCAACTGCTAAAACATAAGCTGCTAAATTAATTTGCCTCCCTATACTCTGCAACTTACATTTTCAGTCTTGGCTTCTTTGCTGTGCTCCCACCTCTGTGTGTCCCTGGATTTGGTTTACAAAATGTGGTGGTCACCTTACCACATTTTGAAACTTGGGGATACGCAAGACAAATCAGACTACTGAAAGTAGGATGACCAGATGTCCCAATTTTATAGGCACAGTCCCGATTTTGGGGGCTTTTTCTTATATAGGCACCTATTATCCACCACCTTCTGTCCCGATTTTTTACACTTGCTATCTGGTCACCCTAACTGAAAGGTTTCAGAGTAGCAGCCGTGTTAGTCTGTATCTGCAAAAAGAAGAACAGGAGTACTTATGGCACCTTAGAGACTAACAAATTTATTAGTCTCTAAGGTGCCACAAGTACTCCTGTTCTTCTTCTAACTGAAAGGGTGCAGTAGCCTGGAAAGGCTGAGAGCTACTGCTCTAGGGCTCTCTCTGGCTCTGATTCAATCTGGAGATTTCTCCTTGTTCAGGTTCTTTCCGGATCCCTTTCGGGGGGAGGAGGTTTCCTCAGATTCTACCACAAGAGGGCTCTGGCTATTACTTGGAGGGGAGGCTACTCTATGTCTGTCTGCTAAGGATACTGGGGTTGGACTTCCTGGGTCAGACTCTGCTGCTGCCGCCTCCATTGTGAGCCAGGAGCCCGCGCTGATCAGCTGCCGCTACCCGGAGGGGTGTGTGCGGGGAGAGCCCTTCCCTACCGCCCCTCTGTGCCCAGCCGGGGGCGACTTTCTCCGGTGGCTGGAACCAGCCCCTGGGGCAGCCCCGGGCTCTACCGACACCAGCTCCTGAGCCGCAGACTCCAGGTGATGGGAGAGACCCGGGGGAAAGGGCTGGGGCCGGGCAGGAAAGTGACTCTGCATCAACGGCCCCTCCTCGCCCCAGCTCTGCTCCCGGGCGTGGTCTGCGAGTCCCAGAGCTGCTGCCCTTCTTGACCCCCCCTCCCCCAGGTTCTGTTCCCCTGAGCGCCTGCAGGAGCCGAGCCAGCTCCGGGATTGCGAACGCCCCGGGCCGGGACAGGGACCGGGACCGAGTCTCCCAGCCCGAGGGGAGGGGAGAGGGGGAAAGAGGGAGAGAACAAAATGTCAGGAGGGATTAATACTCCCATTCAGGGCAACATTTTCAAAAGTGCTCAACTGCCAACACCGCCCCATAGAGAACATTGGAGAATGCCCCCTATGGAGAACAATGGCGAGTGCCCCCTCCCCATGGAGAATAGTGAGAGTTGCTGAGGGCTGAGCTCTTGAAAATCTTACAGAGAACTGAAGAAATGATAGACAGTCTGAGGCTGTGGCTTTGCTACCAACATAGGGGGTGTTTTTACAGCGGGAGATTCCTGCTGTAAAATCTTAGTGGAGAAATTACTCTAATTTTTACCATGATGTAGCTAAGCAAGGACAAACCCAGGAGTGTTGACCCCAACAAGCTATAGTGTGGTAAAAATCTGGCTGCACCCTGTCTCCACTGGCATTTTACCAAGAATTGGCTGTCATTTGTTATCGTGTAAAAACCTAAAACAAAACCCCTCTTCTGGCAATAGAGACAGCCTACCAAAGGTGGGTGGGGGGAGGTTCCCAACACCCAGACCTGCCTAGATCCCTTTCCTGAAGCATCCCTGGGCAGATTCATTTTCCTGGGAACAGGGCAAGGAGCAGAGAGAGAAAGCCAGCTCCTAACAATGCCAATGAGTATCCCCCAAACCTGCTCCTTTGATTCTGCTTTTTATGATTATTATTATTCTTTTCAGGCACACAAAAGTAGCCTGGGCTTTTTGCAGAAAGAAGTGTTTGTATATAGTCCACAGCAAATTCATATATTCTACGGCCAGAAGGGACCATTTTGATCATCTAGGCTGATCTCTTTCAAAACACAGGTCAGAGAGTTTCACCTAGTGTTTCCTGCATCAAGCCCAATACCTTGTGGCTGAGCTAGAGCAGAGCTTTTAGTGAGACATCCGATCTTAGCTGAAAGACTCCAAGTGATGGAGAATTCACCACATCCATCCAATGAGCTGTTCCAAGGATTAATTATCCTCAGTGTTAAAAATTTCCACCTTTTCCCCTGAGTTTGTCTAGCTCCAGCTTATAGCCATTGGATCTTGTTCTGTCTTTATTTGCTAAATGAAAGATTCTTACTCTATCAAAAATGTCTTCCTTTGTAGATACTTAAAGACAGTGATCACATTGCCACTTAATCTTCTTTTGGATGTGTTAAATAGATTGAGTTTCTGAAGTCAGGTTTTCCAGGCCTCAAATCATTCTCCTCTGAATTCTCCAGTTTCCCAATAGCCTTTTAAAAAGTGTGGATATCAGAATCAGATACAGAATTCTTCTAATGATTTCACCAATGGTTTATACAGACAATATACCACCTCCCTACTCTATATTCCCCTGCTCATACGTCCAAGGATCATATTGGATCTCTTAGCCACAGCATCACACTAGGAGCTCGTGTTTAGCTGGGTTCCACCATGACCCCAAAGTCCTTTTCAGAGTTACTGCTTTCCAGGGTACAGTCCCTCATTCTGTAAGCATGACCTACATTTGTTCTTAGATGTATAACCTTTACCTTTGACTGTATTAAAACAAATGTGTTTCAGATGAGCTCATCTTACCAAGAGCTCCCATTTGCTCTACAATACTGACCTATCATTATCATTTTTACTACTTTAATAATTTTTGAGTCTTTACCAGCAATGACTTTATAATGACTTCCTTTATCACCCAACTTGTAATCTCCTCAAAAATATCAAGCTTGTTTGACAAGATCTGTTTTCCATAAAACCATGTTGATTGGCATTATGTTACCATCTTCTAATTTTTTACTTAGTGGGTCCTGTATTCATTCCATTGTTCCATTCTATTACCAACTGGGTAATACATTACCCAGGTCAACCTATTTGCCCAATCTTGCAAACATTTTGTATGTAAATAATTGCTCATGAAAATAATAACATCAATCCTATAAGTTAAGTTTTTCGCCTGCTTAATTGCATGCAGGATTGGGTCCAATGTTCAGACCTGACACAAATGAGGGTCATGGCAGAAGCAGTGGGGGACAGAAGGAACAAGTGGAACTGTAATGAGTTCAGGGGATGACTCAGTAAGGCATGGGTGCATTTTGGTGATGATATTATATCAGTTTATTTTTAATATCTAAAGAATGGATACAATTTTCAAAAGCACCATAGGCATTTAGGAGCCTTTCAATGGGAGTTAGGCATCTAACCTGTTTATGCCCCCAGGGAGCTTTTCAAAGGCATCTATTGGCATCTTTAGGCTCCTAAATACCTTTGAAAATCTGTCCCTTAAATGCTTTTGCAAGTTGGAGTTAGGCCCACTGGAAAATCGTAGAAATGTGGGGTGGGAGGGACCTTGAGAGGTCATCTAGTCCAGTCCCCTGCACTGAGGCAGGACTAAGTATTATATACACCATCCCTGACAGGTATTTGTCTAACCTGTTCTTAAAAACCTCCAATGACAGAGATTCTTCAACCTCCCTAGGTAATTTATTTCAGTGCTTAAAATGTTCCCCTCGGTAAATAGAAGGGCTGATTTTCGGAGGTGCTGAGCACCCACACCTTGTAGCATTATTATTTGTCCTGTGGGAGAGCCTAGAATCCAGTTCTGTTGTGCTGAGCATTGTACAAATAGACAGTTGCTGCTCCTGACAGCTTATACAATCAAATGCAACAAATTGATGGGAAGCACAAAGGAACAGTTAGGCAATTGTGATCAGTGTGATAAAGAGTGTTTATAGGGATGATGGCAAAGGAGAGTATTGGAAGAGGGACAGTGTAGTGGCTTTGCTAGGACCATGATGTTGTCATGAATTTAGGGCTCATGAAAGGTGAGGGTTTTTTATTGTAGTAAATTCAAAGATATTCTGTCAATGGGTGTTGATTTTCTGTTCCCCTTCTGAGGTTCCCTTTCCCCCCCGCCAGCACAGGCAATGACTCATCTCTGGATTCTCTCTCTATCCCAGCTGTGAGTCAAGAAGAAGAGTCTGAGATGGAGGAACCATACAAGATGTCTCTGACAAGATCCAAAGGCAATGTTTCTGAGAGCCCTGAGCAGGAAAAATCCCCTAGGAGTCCAGGCGAATCAGAAACACAGCAGCAAAACACTCCAGAGGAAAGTAAATCTGCTCATGGTGGGCGAGGTGTGAGGAAGCGCAAAGGCACCATCGTCCGCCGGAGAACATTCATGGGGGAGAGGCCCAACATCTGCATTGAGTGCGGGAAAAGCTTCCTTCAGAGCTCAGACCTTATTAACCATCGGCGAATCCACACAGGGGAGAAACCCTATAAATGCATTGACTGCGGGAAAAGCTTCAGCGTCAGCTCAAACCTCATCCGACACCAGAGAACCCACACAGGAGAGAAACCCTATAACTGCCCCGACTGTGGGAAAAACTTCACGGACAAGTCGACCCTGACCCAGCATCAGCGCGTCCATACAGGTGAGAAGCCCTATAAATGCATAGACTGTGGGAAGAGCTTCAGCCGCAGCTCCCATCACAAGAGGCATCTGAGGAGCCCTCCAGGGAAGAGGCAAGGTAAATGCACCCACCGGGAAAGCACTACTGTTGGGAAGGTTAAAGAAACCAAAGCATCAAAGAAGAGAACCTCAACCGTTGAGATCCCCAACACTTGTGCTGAATGCTGGCAAAGCTTCAGCCAGAACTCGGACCTGGTCAAACACATGAGGATCCACACAGGAGAGAAACCCTATGAGTGTCCCGACTGTGGAAAAAGATTCAATGTCAGCTCAAACCTGATCAGACACCAGAGGATCCACACAGGAGAGAAACCCTACACGTGCTCTGACTGTGGGAAAAGCTTCACTGACAAATCCACTCTGACCCAGCACTACCGGATCCACACGGGAGAGAAACCCTATATATGCACTTATTGTGGGAAAAGCTTTAGTCATAGCTCCCACCACAAAAGACATGAAAAAATCCACAAGGGAAGGAACTCGGTGTCCTTCCTGCCATTGTGGCCCTACCCCACTCAAACGTTCTAAAGAACGGTGTGCATACTAAAGAGCCAGAAGGCAGATTGGTGTGAATTATAGAGAGAGAAAGTGAGCACTGCTACCTGGAGAGTAGGAACTGCTACACGTCATCAGTCCGGCAGTCAACCTTCTCCAGTCCCATTTTCAAAAGTGGCTATTAACCACATACCTCAAAGGAAGGTGTGAAACTCCTATAAGGGACAATTTTGCAATAACATGTCCATGGGGGGAAAGTGGCTGCCTGTTCCCAGGCTGTTAATTGGTTGGCTTATGTCCTCAATATAAAGATCCCTTAGAAACCTTTATCCTAGCCATGGTAACTGTTGATGATATTTTTTGTCATTCCCATAGATGTGTCTAATTCCCTTTTTTTGGAATCCTACTCTTGTTCTCCATAACATCTTGTGGCGGGTGAGTTCAACATGCATTGTGTAAATAGTATTTCTTGTTGTCAGTTTTAAATTAGTACCCATTATTTCCCTGGGTATCTCCTTTTTCTTGTACTATGAGAGAGGGCGAGTGGGGAACCCAATTTACTGGTACTTTCTCTCTGCTGTTTATACACCTAAATCACGTGCCCTCTTTTTCATCATCTCTCTAGACTAAATAGTTACAGTCTTTTCATCCTCTTCCCATACAGAAGTCTCTCCTGCCCTCTAACAATTGTTGTCTCCTGTCTCTGAACCCCCTCTAATTCTGCTATATCTTTTTGAGATGGGATGACCAGATCTGAATGCAGTATTCCTGGTTTGGGTGTCCCATCAATTTATATAGTGGCATTAGAATATTCAGTATTATTTTCTAACCAAATGTTTATCCATACTTTATTTTTTATCCACTATTGCGCATTGTCGAGAGGTTTTCACTGATGTGTCTAGTATGACTCCTGCATCTCTTTCCTTAGTTGTTGCACTTAATTTAGATCCTAGCTGTGTGTATGAGTAGATGATATTGTCCCTTTTAATGGGCCACATGGTGCCAGCAACTTCCAAGCAGAACTCTCTCTTTGAAGTGAAGAGGTAGATTAAATATATACCTATATTGGCCGAGACTTTCAAAGCAGCCTAAGGAGTTTGGATGCCCTGGGTGTAGTTTTCAAAAGCTCCTAAGTGATTTGTAATGGTATTTAGGCATTGTTCTGCTCAGCATTGCAACACCTAAGTCTCATTTTCAAAGTTGACTTAAGCACTTAGGAGCCTAATTCCCACTAAAAGTCAAAGAAAAGTTGTTCTACATCACTTAAGGCCAGATTTTCAAAGGTCTTTAGGCACCTAGACATGCAGATAGGTATCTAGTGGGATTTTCAAAAGTGCTTAAGTGCCTAACTCCCATTGAAATACCCCCTCAAATCAATGGGTGTTAGGCATGTAGGCAATTGTGAAAATCCCTTTAGATGCCTAAATAACTTTAAAAATCTAGCCCTTAGGCACTTTTGAAAATTTTACCCCCAATTTCCAGAGCTGGGTGTCTAAATCCCTTTGGATGGTTTTGAAAAATCTCAGCTGACCTCTGTCAATCATAAGGTTTTTTCATAGTATTTAAACACTTCCCAGGAAAATTAAATCTGATTTTAAACTGATGGCATGATATGGCTCAAAGTGCATTGTGATGCATTTACCTGCACTGAATTCCATCTGCTGTCATGTTGTCTAGTTCATCTAACATTGTTAGGTCCCCTGTGAAGTAACTCAGCCTTCTTTATACACAAAGTACTGCTGTATTCTCTGCAAATTTTGCCACCTCAGTTTTCATATTAAACACTGTCCCTAGGCATGGGCATAGTTTGGATGGTTGTCCCCAAAACTCCAAGCCTCGGGCAAGTGTGGAATTTACCCACCACCCACCCCCAAGCACAGCCCCATTGACCTGACTGAAGCTGCCCCCCTACAAATACAAAAGTCAAACTGTGACCAGATATCCCAATTTTATCAGGACTGTCCTCATTATTACAGGCTTTGTCTTATGTAGGATCTTATTTAACACCCCACATGCCCATTACTACTCCCCTGTCCTGATTTTTCACACTTGCTATCTGGTCACCTTAACTAGTCCTAATACAGGACTCTGAAGGCACCCCACTTTTAACCTCCTTCCATATTGAAAAAAATACTATTTATCCTTTTTGTTTTCTGCCTCTTAGACAGTTTTCAATCCATAACAGTACATTTTTTGTTCATCCTGTGACTACTTGGCTGCCTTAAGAGCCTCTGCTGAGGGACTTTGTCAAAAGGTTTTTTTGAAAGTCTAAATAAATTAGATAAATGAGAACCAGTTTGTATATTAGTTTTTGTTAATAAATGATCAAAGCATGCCTCTAGATCAGGGAGACATGATTTTTGCTTTGCAGAAGCTGTGCAGGTTAGTCCCAATCATGGGGTGTTTTATGACTCTCTGTCTTTAGAGTTTGGCCTGAAGTGGACAAGTTGCCCCAACCTGCCAACTCATGCGTTTACAGCCCTGGCAGGCCTTCCTGCGTCTCAAATAAAATCTCATGCATGATTAGGGTGACCAGACAGCAAATGTGAAAAATCGGGATGGGGGGGGGGTAATAGGAGCCTATATAAGAAAAAGACCCACAAATCAGGACTGTCCCTATAAAATCGGGACATCTGGTCACCCTATGCATGATATGCATGAGTGGGACTTGCACACAAAACACCACTTGGCCTAGGAGAAGGTACACTTGTGAGCCAGGTGACTAAATTCTATGCTCATTTCTGTTGCAGAGTCATATTATTATTTCTGTAGTTCACAACCTGACTGACTAAGCTAGGTCTCTACCTGGAAATAGATCCGAGATTCCTACAATGCCAGATCCAAGTTTCATACCTTTACCAGTGATGTCTTTCAGAATACATATGCCATATCTATGTACTTGGCTACCTGTCTGTAACCCCAGTTCTGAACACATTTTTCTGCCAATCCCAGGAGCCCTGATTCTCAACATTCCACTGTTGTATCACAAAGAATTATATAACCCATTGGCACAGTGTATGTTGCATCTCTCTTTAGAAGGTGGTCCACGTAGAGGATAAAGCGTGGATTCACAAAGGAGCAAGGGGACTTGAGCCTGGGTCACCCACCTCAAAAACACCAGGCTACAGAGTCATTCTCTCTCTCTCTGTGGCCCCATGACTCATTATTTATACACAGTGGAACAGGAGAAATTGAGGGAGCCCCACACCAGAATATCCCATAGCTCAGTGGTAAGCACTTTCCTGAGAGGTAGGTGCTGTGACCCAGAGTTCGGCTAGGCTATGCCTACTGTGAAGAAAGGTGGAGGCAAAACAACACCACGGAGATAACATTACATTTTAAACTTTATAAAGGCAAAACAATCGAATAGAAAATAACATCAAATATTCAGTTAGGAAAATGTTAAACTGTAAATCACCATTCACAATAAAATAAGTTTTTCAACAACATGCTGTGTGACCCTGGGAGGGAATCAGTTCCTCCTCTCTCTGGCTGCAAAGTCCAGCTTCACCCCAGCTGTCCCACCTTTGCCTCTCTGCAGCTTGTGATGCTCCTTTGATGACTGCATTTCTTTCCAATGAAGGTCAGCTTCTCACCCAGCGATCCACACCTAGGCACTAAAGTATATTTCCTCTGTCAGTGTCCCAATGGGCAACCTCACTGATCATACGCTCTGTGTCCCTCACCACCAGGCTCCTTGCACACAGCCCTTCGAGGGCTAGCTTTCCCCTCCCCAGCAAATTCCATTTTTACCCAACACATCCTCTTTTTGGTGCCTTCTCTGCCTTTTTTCTGGTAGATCCTGAGCCTCCTCCCCACTCAAGCTGCCCTCTTCTTGTCTGCTCCTCTCTCCAGAACATCATTTTATGCTGCTGCACCAAATGCTAGTGCCAGGGCCATAGTTATTACCTGGGAGACCCTTGTTCAAATTATTTCCCCCCCACAGACAGAGAGGGTAAGTGAACCTGGGTCTCCCACATCCCAGCTGAGTCCTCTAACCACTGGGTTAAGGGGTTTCAAGCTGGATGTCCACATTTTGAATGGTTCCCGGTCTGGTAGGTGGCCTCTGAGCACACCTACCAGACCTGACCCTACAGGCAAGATAGGTGTTCACTCACCTGTCTTCCCCAGTTCACCTAGGGAACTTTTACCCTGAAAACTTAGAAGGGGTAAGTTGCGGTGCTTGCAGGAAGTGGAGTGGGGTTTGTGGATCACAGTGGAGCCTAAACTTGGGACGTAGATGCCTAGCAGCCTGCTTCTGCTACCAGTTGCTCCATTAGCTCAAGAAGAAATCCAGGCCATGGATCTGCATGGCCTCAGCCCAAATCCTCCTGAGGGAAAACACAGTCTGTGATCATGCAGTGACAGAATGTATTATAATGCACCTGCACAAGGGGCAGGGTGAAGGTTGCATGGGTACCTCTCATAAGTTTACAGTTACATTATTTATTTAACATTTAGACTGCAATAGAGCCTAGAAGCCTCATCCAGGTCCGATCTCCACTGAGCCGGGTGGTGTACAAACATACAGCTAGTGACAGTCCCTGTCCCAAAGAGCTTAGCATATAACAGGTGGATAAGAGGAACAAAGGGACCGAACTGAGGTAACAAAAATAATGGGCTATACACAATACTTTGCCAATCAGGAGTAGTAATTATATATATATATATATATACACACACACATATATATATATGCAAATTAGCTCATTAAATAATTTGCCTAAAACATCACACATGGATCTGTACAAAAGTTGGCATCTCTGTACCACGCACCTTCCACTGGACCAGAAATGGAATATCAATTCTTGTATTTCTCTCTCCTGCCTTCTCGTCTAGCTGTGCTTGTTTGTGTGTGCTGGAGAAAGCTGTACTTGACCCAACAGCTTTGTGAGTAAGCTGAGAACACTCTGGCTGAAACCCTGCAAACACTTTGAGCATTTAGCTGAGAAAAGCTGCCATTCTTCCCCAGCAGATTTAACTTTCAG